TTGTGTGTTGTCACACGGGAAAGCTCTAATCTGTTTTCAGGTAGAGTCTGTTTTCTAACCTTTGATCCGTGAGTGGATGTTTTATTAACATGTCTCGATAACAGAAATGCCTTGCCAAGGAGATGTTTGGTTCTCGTGTTTGAGGCAAGGCAAGTCATTTCCACCTTCTGAACCTTGTCTTATCACTGGTTTTACCCTTCTTTTACTATCTTATGTAGAGAAGCAATCATAATAAAATGCTATCTTGTTGAATTGTCATTTTGAGATTTTGATGCTCTCTTGGCTTATTTCAACCAAAGTGAGCACTGGTCTCCAAAGGAGTGTTGTATTTCTGCCATAACGTTAAAAAAATAGCACACATCTTTGTGTAGCACTTGATAGAACTTTTTAAATTCCATCTAGTTGATTCCTATGTCCCTGCAAGATTGGGATTATTAGTAGTCCAATTGTAAATATTGTAAGCCTCAGCATCAGAAATTACACACAGGATCACAAAGCCAGGACCTGGAGGATCACAGGCTATGCATCCCAGGTCTTTCTGTGGCCAGGCCAAGGTGTGTGTCCTCCTTTTGGCACAGTGAGGCTAAGAAATGGAATGCATATGACTCCATGATTAGAACTGCAGTGTCAAATGCACATTATATGCTGGTCCATGGATGTCCTGAGTTTGCAGCCCGCTTTATCTCCATTTATAGTCTTAATCGATCACTACCCACCTCCCTCTGTCCTTGAGAACTTCCCAAATGCCACATCTGATTTGGGGGCCACTTGAATTTCTTACTTTCAGTCAGTTGTGAGCATTGCCGTTGCTTTAACCATCATTATCATGTGCAAATGTGTATGTCTTCAGGTCATCTCTGTGTCTCCTCTCTCCTTCTCTCTCTCTCATTTATTCATGAAATATTTATTGTACAAATATTGGCACTTAGCACTTGCTTGTCATTTTCTTCTTGACATTCAAAGTGGTTAGTTGGACACAGATCCTAGCTTATAGTTTGCAATCAGTATGGTGGAACTGAAGTGAACCTTGTTTTTTTTTTTTTCTCTAAATATGTACCAATTTTGCATTTAAGAAAATCTTACAGGGCTAGGGATTTGGCTCAGTGGTTCCCCCACCTGCCTTGCAAGTGCAAGGGCCCAAATTCAACCCCCGATATCGAAAAGCAGAGCAAAGCAAAGCTTACATATATAGGCACGCTTGAAAGAAGAAAAAGTGCAGCCAGTTTAACTCAGAGCTGAAGCTTCAGTTCCCCCATACCTACACCGCAGACTACCCCAGGGGCAGATACATTATGCTTTGGGGGTAAGAAGGTATTAGAATACAAAGTTGAAAAGGGAGCAAGAACTTAAAACCCCAACAAGTCTGGGGCCTGTGGTAAAGCCCCCTGCATAAATCCAGGGCTCAACCAAGAGTTCACTCTGTACTAACAAACATAGTAAAACTCAACCAGCTAGCCAGCCCGGGGTCATGACAAAGAAGAAAGAAATGAGCGACTCAAGCCCGTACCATATCATATGTGCAACTGAAATTTAAACTATATGAATCTTACAAAGAGCATTTCAGTTGATAAGTTCATATAAAAACTGGTCTAGAACAAGGAAAATATTTATACTCACAAGTGTTGTAAATGCTAAAACTTCCTGTAGAGTCCCTTGTACAAACCAGTATTCATGAAATTTACCCAAAAGATACACCAAAATAATGCAAAACTACAAAATAGATATGCTTACAATATCTATTCATGTAAGGACATATATATTCCATAAAGGAAGAATTTCTTTATAAAAAATAATGGATTTGTTTGAGAAAAAACTAAATAAAGTATTTCTAAGCTCCTCAACATGATAAATACTCCACCAAAATTGAAATACTATACTAGGCATTAAATCGTGGATTAGAAATAGATGGAAAATTATCTAATTGGAGGATAAATCTGAGAGAAACACCTATAATGCAGTACAGAGAGCTGAGATAGGAGGTAGGGAAGGGAGGTAAACCTGGAAGACACTGAGAAGGTCCAACACCCTGCAAACAGGAGTTTGAAGAGGAAAAATGACTGGAATGGGATGAAAATAACATTTAAAGAGGGATGGGGATTTAGATTTAGCTCAGTGGTTGCACCACCTGCCTCGTAAGCATAAGGACCTGAGTTCAATCCCTGGTACCAAAAAAAATTTTTTTTAAAAGAAATAATGACTAAGGACATTTCAGAACTGAGAAAAATACTTTGATCTTCAAATTACATACAGATATTGTATCCTGATCAGGAGAAAGAAAAATCAGTCCACCTTTTAAGCATAACTAAATTGCAGGTGTCAAATAAATGAAAATAAAAGTTACAAAAGAGAAAATGCAGGTGTCTTATGAGAGAATCACAATTAGACTAACTGGAAATTTACTCAGAAACGACAGTGAAAGCCCAGGAATAGTTGGCAGCTATCCTTAAGGAATCAAGGACATTACCTGTCAAGCTAGAAATCTATAGCTTTTTAAACTATCCTCGAAGAATGAAGGTGAGATTCAGACCTTATAAGAAAAAATGAACTAAAAGACAAAACTTCTTTTAGCAGTTAACCACTCCTGAAAAACTAGTAAAATATTCTCTTCAGTAAGAAATTGAACCTAGAAGAATGCAGTGCAAAAAGTGATGGTGATCAAAGAAACACACTGGTGGTGCAGAACAGACGTGGTGTGTCTCAGCATGGGAGACGCCCATTTCACCAGTGATTTGAAGGCAAGATGAGATGCACCTGTCAAAGGGCAGTAATGTGGAAGATGGGAGGCAAGAGGGCAACAATAAAGCAGCCTAAATTTTGTCTGTTTCTCATAGAAAATTATTGCTTACTTCAGATTGAAGTATCAGAGTTCTTAAGAAAAATTATTTGAAGTATGAAAAAATACATTTTATACATGTGTACATGTATGTGTGTACTTATACACACATATCTATGGAGTCTGCCCCCCAAAGATGTATAATTCAGGAACAGAAAACTTGTCATGAATAGTTTAATGCTAAGTTTATTGAAACATCAGGAGTTTTGGCCTCTACAGTTACAAAAGGTGCTCAAAGTGGTGGCCAGGCCATTTATAGTAGGGTGTGTCTGTGGGTGGAGGACGCTGTGTGTATACCTTCTCAATCTAGTAGACCAGCACAGGAGTTTTTAAAAAATAGATCAGCCTAACTAAAGGAAGGAAAGTAGAAAAACGCAGAAGAAAAAGAGGAAAGAAAGTTAATAGAATGGAAAAATCAAATATATTGGTAGTAGTGGTAAATGGAAACAGATTAAACAGCTATTCAAATTCAGAGACTGTCCAGGTTTTTTGGACTCAGCTTTCTGCTGTTTAGAAGACACATGGGGTAGTTTGAAAATAAAGAATTGAACGGAAGGAAGGGAGATACCAGGCAAGCCGGAGAGGTGTCGGGGAAGGGAGAGAGGGGAAGATGGAGGAAGACCTTAAGGTCAGAAAAACTTATCAGGCAAAAACTATTATCAAGAAAAACATTGAGAGCTTGGATAGTGGTGTGTGCCCAGCTACTTGGAAAGCTAAGGTAGAATCAGTTGTTCCCTTTAAAAATTTTATTTTGAGACAGGAACTCTCTAGGTTGCTAAATTGTCTAAGCTGGGCTTAGACTGGGCTCATCTTCCTGCCTCAGCCTCCCAGAGTGCTAGGATTGCAGTTGTGTGCCACCACGCTTTCCTTACATGCTATTTACAGATACATGCATCATTACACATCTGAGAGAAAATTATCCCTCAGCTGAGTGGTTCCCTTGAAAGAGATGAGTCAGAATAAAGAGGAAGAACAGGTGGGCCTCACCTCTCTCGTGTTCCAGCAAATAAGGGCGATAGTATTAGCATTTGTTCATGTCGGTGCCTGTGGGTGGCAGAACCATAGGCTTCTGCTATTACTTTGTATGTATGTTTAAAATACTGCCTGGGTTTCTGCTGTTACTTTGTGTATTTGAAGTAGTCTCCTGATTTCAAATAGCTTTTAGCTAATGGTGGGAGAAGAGAGGAACATCGTAAGAAATCAGAGCAAACCATGCCGCGTTGCATTATGGTCTCCTCATAAATGCACTTGGAGTTGAGCTGTAAGATGTGTTGGCCAGGCTGAGGAGTCCAGGGGCCTCCTGGAAGATGGATCACAGCCGTGGTTTCCCACAGTTGCCTGCCTGCTCGCAAGCACCCTGGGAAGTGCATCCGCATCAGAGCCTCTTTCTCTGTCTTCGGCTTGTCACGTCCTTCCCCTTTTTCTCACTACTAAACTTTAATAAATAAAAAAAAAAAAAGCTTTTGCAATCTAGTCATAAACACTAGTTACTTAGGGCCTTCCAGTCCATTTTTACTTTGAAGAAAAACATCTAGACAATAAGGTGATACCTTGATTCTCAAGGAAAGAGAAAAGAGTAGCTTCTGTGGTGATTTTTATGGAAACGGGTGGGTTGTGGAGGGAAGGGATGGCTTGGCTGTGTCCTGAAAATGCTTTGCCTATGGTGCTGGGCTCCTGCGTTCTTTGTTTTGCGGCTCAGAGCAATTCCAGTTAGGGTTTTCACCTCTAAAACTTTTAAATTTCCCCTCTGAAATCGTATGTTGGCAAACAGTTGCCATGTCCACAACCTCAGTGAGGAAGGGCCACATGGGCCGGGACTGCCCGTAGCTGGCTTCTGCTCGGCATCTGGCCCCGTCCTGTGCTGGTAGCCAGGCAGCGCTTGATGCCTGAAGTCAGAAGGGGACGTCATTTAGCAGAACTTTCAGCAGAGATTGAAGCGTCGCATACTTTGAATAGGGCTGGGCTCGGTGCTTCTCGTGCGTTCTTACAGGGCACTAGGAGATGCACTGCAGTGCCGGTCTAGGAGCAACTTGCCATTCACTTTTTAAATGCACGTCTGCTCCGTGGAGAAGCCAAAAGGTGCATTCGGACTCCAGTCTGTTACTAAGCCGCCTGGGTCTGGTCGTGAGCCTTGCATTTTCAGATGTGTGCCGCCTTTCCTTCGCAGAGAGAAGATGCATCAGTCCGCCATGTATGAACTGTGCCAGGGGATGCACCAGATCAGCCTTCAGTTCGTTCGACTGCAGCTCACCTTTGAAGAATACACCATAATGAAAGTTTTGCTGCTACTAAGCACAGGTACATTGATGTCCAGTCTGGCGCTCGTTCTGCATTGTCAGATCCTCCTCCCTGTAGAAGAGAAGACCATTTAGAGTGTTCAGGTTGCTCCTACCGAAAATAACCATTTTGAAGTGATGGGAGTGGGACTTGGCCTTTGATGCACTGAGTTACTTGCTGAGTGTGAAAGAACATGGCTCCTCCTCGCTTCATTCATACAACCACCAGGTGTTGGCTAAGAGCCTCTTATGTGTATGGTACGGTCAGGCCATGCAGGAGACGCAGGGTGAGCAGTGCAGTGTCCACCCTCAGAGCGTGTACTGTAAGCCAAATTCAAGGGCAGTTTTACTGCATGACAAGAAGCGCTGTTCTACTATGACCGAGGTACGCAGAGTCACAGTGGTTCAGGGAAGGCAGAGCACATTCAATTCCGGAGTTGCAGATGGGATCTGAGGCTCGCGGTGCCCTTCCTGTCGGGACAGCCAAGTATGGACATGAGAGAAGCATGTCTAAGCCACAGCACTTAGTTTGGCAGGGGAGGGAGCTGCCTGGTAATGTATATGTATTGATGTAATTTTTCAAGGTGTGTCAGAGGATATCAGGTGGGGGAAGTGGGAATAAGGCTGGGATATCGATTGGATAGGGCTGTTCAGTGCCCAGGGAAGAAATCTGAAGGTTACTGCCTAGGTAGAGGAGTGCGGTATAGAGCAGAGCTCTCCTCCATGGCTTCACGGAGATGTGCCTAGCAGTAGAAGGAACTGGAGGGAAGGAAATGGGCAGAGACAAAACTCAGTCTGATGAGACACGCAGGGAGCTGCCAGAGGGTGTGAACACTGTGCCTGGATTTGTGGCAGTTGTGTGCACAATGGACAAGGAGCGAGTGAGGAAACACTGCCGAGTTGGCCTTGGCCACTGGCCAGAAGGAGAAATAACACTGACATAGGTCAGAAATGACACCGGTCTTGAGCCCAGAGAAAGGACAGCCATGGTAGTGATGCCACTAACAGAAATACGTGGTGTTGGGACTTGGAGAAGATCTCACGGAACATACAAAGAGTTCTTTTTTTGATGGGTTGACAGTTTGATGCCAACTCTGTCTCCAAATAGATGACCTAAAGATAGAAGAAATCTGGAGGGCTAGAACTCAGGACACAGCTTTGAAATAAAAATTATCCTTGTGGAAAATTGTAGCTGAAACTCCAGTGGACATAGAGTTGAGGGAAAGAGGCAATTGATCCATGTTAAAGGCCTGAGGCAGGGGCTGAAGGAACAGAACGATGGCCAGAGATGTCAGGACCTGGGAGCATGTGCCTTAGTGGAAGCCAACAGCCGAGGCTTCCAAGAGGGCTAAGACCAACAGCATGGCTTCCATAGAGAAAATCAAGACAGGGGCAAGAAGGCTGCTAGAGTTGCCTGTTAGGTCTCTGGCAGGTGCCAGACAGCCACCGACTTGCAGATTGAGGCGAAGCTTTTTTAGGATTCTGGAAGAGATGAATTGAGGGCAGAAGGTGCCAGGAGCAGCAGGAAGACAGGGTTGGCCTTGGCGATGCTATCAAGCACTCAGTCCTCAGACCACTATATAGGAATTTTCAAACAGGGGAGAGAATTTGTTCACAAGAGAGAAGGGTGAGGCCCAGAACAACAGCAGGAGGCAGTTCAGAGAGCACAGCTCTGAAGCAAGTGGTGGCTGCCCAGGAACATGCTAGATGTCAGGAGCCAGTGGGGAGGCCAAGGTGAGTGGACTTCGAGGAGGAGAAAGTGTTGAATGTGAAGCAGAAGAGTGAACAGCCCATCCATGTTCAGCCCCCTCCTGGGCCCGAATCTGATGTGGAGGGTGTGGGCAAAGGTACAGTCTCCAGTAGAGTCCTCTGGGGGGAAGTGGCCTTATGAGCCGAGCTGGCCAAGGTAGAACTAACTGGTCCCCAGACGTACCATTTCCAACCAGAAGTGACTGGCTCAGGAAGAGAGAGCCTGAATCAGGTAGTGTAAGATACAGAATAAGAGATGCAGGGGTGGAAGTAGATAATACTCCAGGCTCCGATGTCGAGCACCTCAGGGGCTGAGCACAGAGCAGGCAGAAGCGGAAGTAGAAGCCGAGGTAGGCGCCATCGCAGAGGCAACCTGAGGCCCTGGCAGGAAGTGGGCCCAGCAGGGCACAGCTGTGTTTTGTTTGGCCAGCACCAGTTTGGAGGGCCACTTTTGGCCTTTCGTTTTATTTTATTTTCATTGAATCTGTTCGCCCAGGGCAGGGCATGTCCTCTCCAGTGTGCCCCAGGCCCCGCTGTTCTTCACCAGGTCCAGCCAGCCCCACCTCCTCTAGCTTCTGTGCTCCCAGCTCATCCTGAGGGATGGACAGGAGAGAGCAGGCTGTTTCTCCTGTGCCATGCTTCTGGTGTTGACCACTTTCCTGATTTTTCCTTTCCGGAGTATAACTTTGGAAAAGTCATCTTTAAATTCAGAGAAAGTGGTTTTAGTCCACTTTCAAACTACGTTATTAATCATTCCTAGTTAAAAAAATGTTTACAAAGTTCTGTTCGATGGATGATAGATTTTTTAAATGAAATCTTATTTTCTAAAAGTGCCTGTGTTGCTAATTCTTTATATCCTTTCACATCCATTTACTCTTTTAGCCTCTCAAGTAGCTCATTGCTTTCAATTCTGAACTTAAGCAGAAAAATACAATTAAAAGGCAGTAAAATGTAACTAAAGAATTCTAGGAGTCATAGACACTGCAGGCTGTGGTGGGCTTATTTTGCTAATCTGCAATTTTCAGAATGCCTGAAGATGGCTCTTTTTGTTTGGGAGTGTAAAACTGAACACCTGACCTCCAGCGTATCCAGAGAGTTTTTTAGCAATGACATTCCAAGAATCTCATGTTCTTTATGCTTATGGAGGAAAACAGACCAACTTCTACCCAGTTGTGTCTCTGCTCTGCTGCAGCTCATAGATTCTGGATGTTTTCCAGCAGCCCTGCTGCATTTAATAAGCAAATTCAGAAACTCTGGGCAGGTCTCCAAAAATTGAGGTTTTGCTTAAGTTCCCTTTATTTGTTGGTTTGTTTCAACTTCTAAAAAAATTCTGGCTGGGAAATTGGTACAGTATCTTTCAGTCACAGCAGTAGAATGTGAGTAATAATATTTAACACAAAGCATTATAATCTTGAGACTTTTGGGTAACGCAGCCATCAGAAATGGGAAGGTCTTTGATTAATCTCAGTTGATGTGTACCAAAGAACATTGGGATTGGATAGTGACATTTAGTCACTCTATTTTAATGGCAGATAATTTTTTAATGTATAGGGTTGCATCTGTCTAAGTATCTAGTATTGGAAAATTAAAGATTTGCTTTATACAGTTTTATAATAAAAACATGTTATCTGTGGATAACATCTGTGGATGGGCAGTATAGGCAGTTATTTGTAAGCTTTTAATTTCTTTTAGAAAGTTTTAAGTTACTGTTAAAATATGGGTAGAAAATGGGTCTATAATTTTACCATCAATGTACTAGTTATTGCCGTTCTTCTTTGTTTTTATGCTTTTAAAATAATATTTTTTAATTTTAAAGAAAAATATCCTACTTGTTATATAATGATACCATTTAACTCTTAGTGTGAAAGTCAGATACTTAAAACCTCAGGAATTTGTGCAGTTGCAATTAGCAATTATTTTTACCTTACCCAAAAAATATAAATATAAATGAACTAGAAATCAAAAGTCTCCACAATTATACTCAAAGAGATTATTAACATAGTAGTAGAAGTTAAATTCTGGGATAAGCCCTATCTTTATTTAGGGTAAGAGGATTTATTGGGAAACAGTGGGAATGCCTATACTACTCAGAAACAATACTATAATGTTAAAAACTGCACAGAGCCATGCTAAAGTGCTGATGACCAAAGGAAATTATTATTTGAACCAGCTGTGGAAAAAGTAGCAAATACAATATGTAATTAAGAAGCAAAAGATAAGAGCAGTTTTAAACTCAAAATGCAAATATCACGAGATGACTCTCCATCAGGTTGTCCTTTAAAAACAAAGTTCTAGGTAATCTTTTTCAGAGTTGAAGCATACACATAACTACTTATTGGCCATAGTGAAAAACAAATGTGTAGGTAGATTTTCGAAGTGGATACCTCTAGTCCACTCTCTGTCCCTATGTCTTCGTCCCTTTTACCCTTTCCCAATAAAGCACCTTCCCATTGGTCCTGGAAAAGAACTTTGCCTTTCACGGGGCAGGGGAGCAGCTGACCTGCTTGAAGTCTCAATCCCAAAGTATTCTTCTGTAGGGTGCTGGGGACAGGACCCAGGGACTTACACGTGCTAGGCAGTCCACCACTGAGCTCATAACCTTGGACCCAAAATATTCTTTTTTAAGTGCACTTGATTTTGTTTAACTGTAAAACCTAGCCATCACAGAAAACAAAACGCTTGATTTTCTATCTCGTGGGAGATTAAAATTACAAGATTTATTCTCTTTGGAAATTTTTAATTTTTCCCCAAATGTGGAGCCACTGTTGGTGTTACCCCAACACAAGCTAGTACCCAGACCTGCCTCCAGGTTGTTCTGGGAGGTTGTGGGACAGCACCCCCATATTCAGGGGGTTCCTGGAGCAAAGCTGGTGGAAAGTGATTTTCAGCATGCAGCATCCTACCCTTGGGAGACAACCATTGTCCCAGAGTGTCTGATACTTGAACTTGTGTTATGAAGATGTCACTTTCTAGATGCTATCTAGCCCCCCCCCGTTAGATTCTCTGGGGTCTTCCTACTACCCGGCAAAAGCAGAATATATTTTCCTGTCTCTGGGGTGTTGGCAAATTAGAATTCATAAAGTACTTTGATGACAGGCCCCAAGTCAGGTAGCATTGTGCTTAGGGGCTGGCCTTGAAAGCAGACTTCAGTTTACACTATCCCTGCTCTGCCATTTACTCAGCGTGAGCTTGGGCACATGAATCAACCCCCAGTGTAGGTTCCTCATCTGGAGAATGAGACTAGTGTAATGGTTATGTTCTAATATTGGTATCAGGATCAACTGAGCTAATGTGTGCAAAACAGCATGCATCCGAGACGTAATCGCTATTATCTTGTGTAAGTGCCAGTGCTTATCAGTATATGGTTGCCACATTCATTCATAATTGCCATTAATTGAGATTTAGTATCCAACCTCGTAACCAGTATATAAGCTGAAAAGAGTCAAGGCCATGTATCTGCTAAGACGCTGAAGCTGTTTTTCATCCTGGGAATTCATATGTCTGTATTCCTTAACGCAGTTCCAAAGGATGGCCTCAAAAGCCATGCTGCATTTGAAGAAATGAGGACAAATTACATCAAAGAACTGAGGAAGATGGTAACTAAGTGTCCCAATAATTCTGGGCAGAGCTGGCAGAGGTTCTACCAACTGACCAAGCTTCTAGACTCCATGCATGACGTAAGTAGAGCCCCTTGGTTCTTATTAATTGAAGCACCAACAGCCACACGCACACACACAGGCACACACTACTGAACAAATGAAACCAGCAAACCGAGTCTTCAGGGCTGTGGGAGGAGCTGGAACGCACTATCCAGTGAGAGGCAGCAAGAGTTAAATCTGGTTAAGGACATTTTTCTTTGGAAAACCTCTCTTTCAAACAACCCTCATTTACAACAAAGGGTATGGCTCTGACCAGGGAAGGCCCTCAGATCTGCTACAGGTGTGTGATTGAGTTTCACATTTTTGCTTGCAATTTAGGAAATGTTTGGTTAATAAAAATGTTTGCTTTAACATTGCATAAATAGTGTCCATCTTCTACCACTGTTAATCTAATCACCCAATCTTTCAAAAACATTATTAGTGGTTCAGGGCCAGCTGGGTTCATCTGAGTCTTTGCCAAATTTTGAATCTCCTATTCGTCATTCTTCCTAGGAGCCACCTTTCTTGTCCCATGTAAATACAGGAAGAAGATTCGGAGCGCATTTCTGATCTAATCAATTAAAGATGAAGTTGAGGTATTTGTTAGCAGCTTCTCCAAAATACTGATTTGGATAACTTGCTTTGTGCGTCATTTAAAATAGGCTTCTTGTTTCACTGCAGGAGCAGCTTTCCCAGTTCTGGCTCGAACTGTGTTGTATGCAGTCATGCTAAATTAGTTCTTTGTGTTTGTGAAGTTTCCACACTTTCTTTTGGAGAATTTATTATTCAGATTGGGTCTATATGATTTAAATAATAAATTATTTTTTCAATATTTCCTATGAAGGAAAATGTTTGCAGGCATAGTGACTGGTATTACAATAGTGTCCGTGTTGAAGTAATGTTTCCTGTTAAAGTGTTAAAAGTTCACCTTTAGATGTCTCTGCCAGTTAGAGTGATCTCTCTGGTGCTAATGGCACAGGGTTGATTAATGAAAGAATATTATTTTCTGAGATTTTACACTGAGGCCCTTGCATACTCCTTGACCTTTGCTTTCTCCGAACTTTTCCCGTGATGACAGTCAAGTTTCACTTGAGGTGAACTCAGTGATAAATAGTTTTGCTTATTCTTGGGGCTTTAAAGAGTGATCTGCTGGGAAGTCTTGGAAGTCGGAGATGATTGTAGAGTAGGCTTTGAGAAGAACAGCTAGCTGGTAATGCTCCGTCAGAAGGAAGTACACAGGCATCCAGATCCATGTCTTCCCGCGCATGTAATGTCACAGCCTCACATCACCTATGTGAGGGTACAACAGATTCTCTTTCTGCCATTGATTTCATTGAAGGGCCTTCTTATTGGAGGTTAGAATGGAGTCCTGTGGTTTTTTCTTAGTGAATTTTCTTATTTGTACAGGCGCACAAGTGCAGTATCTAAATTAGTACATAATTTGTTATTACAACACATGATAATAAATCATATTCTAAAGCAATTTGCATGTAACGAGACACAATACAGAAGTCACAACTTGGGTTTTGCACAGCCTTTCAGACTCTCTGGGCCTGAAGCAGCACAGCACAGTGGAAACACTAAGAGGCCAGCCCTGAAGCTCCTCTGCTGGCTGGTTTTCAGCACCAGCACAGTGAGTGCATGGCGCTGGACAGGGACACAGTGAATGGTGATCAGATGATCAAGTCATAAACACTGATTTTCTGTAAAACTTTCTGGAGAAAATTAGTGTCTTTTTAAAATAAAATATAATTAAGCTATGAGAACATGAGCAGTTTGATAAGCTCGGACCTCTGTGCAAGGGCTTCTTAGTAGATAGTTGCTTATCAGTAGATAGGCCTGATGAAACTGTGAGCACAGTGAAGAGAGCAGACAAACCTGCCACCCCAAAGGTTTCCTGGGCCCCCTGCTCTCCAAGTACTTTCTACTTTGCTTTCTGTCTTTACAGTTCATTTGTCTTCTCTAGTGTTTCACATAAAAAGTATCATAACAGAAGCCTTGTGTGTGTGTGCGTGTGTGTGTGTTCAGTTTCCTTCACTGGCTGTAATCGTGTTGAGATTCATCCATGCTATCTGAGTACCTAGATGGACAGTTCCAGGATTTATCTTGTTTTTCAGGGGATTTTTTTTAATGGAGTAGTAACCCACGGTATGGATACTACACAATTCATTTGTGCATTCACCCATCGTGGACAATGGGGTCGTTTCCAACTCAAGGCTGTAATGAACTGTGCTCAGCCTTAGTGGACAAGCTCGGCCTAGACACAGACACTCCATCTTCTTAGGGTAGCACCTAGTACTGGAACACCTGCTTATATTACCAGTAGGTTGTCATTTTCTTTTAAAAGGAAAGGCCGTAATGTTTTCCACAGTGGTTGTAGCATTTTACATTCCCTGGAGAAGTATAGGAGAGTTCACTTTGCTCCACATCCTAGCTAACCCTCGCCGTGCCTTCTGCTGTTAGCCACGTGGCAGTATCTCAGTGTGGTTTTTAATTTGCGTTTCCTGTATGACTGATGATGCTGATTGTCATGTCAAATGCTCCTCTGCCATCTTTAGGCCTTCTTTGGTGAATTGCCTGTCAGACTCTTGGCTCATCGCTTTCAGATTGTTGAGTTCTATCTGTACTCAATATTCAGACCTTTTATTGGACCTATGATTTGCAGTTCTTTTCTCCCAATCTGTAGCCCTCTTCTTTTTGTCCCGTTACCAGTGTCTTTTGAAGAGCAAGAGTTTTTAATGTTAGCAAATGTGTTTGCTTTCCATTCCTATAACAAATGCCTCAGGCAGTCAGCTTTCAGAAGGTTTGTTTGGACTTGAGTTCTAGAAGTTTCAGCTCATGGCTGATTGGGCCCCCACCGCGTTTGGACCTAAAGTAGGCAGCATGAGTGGCAGGAGCATGTGTAAAGCAGAACCTGCTTTCCTTGTGGCAAGCTGGGAACAAAGAGTAAGGAAGAGGCTGTGATCCCACATTCCCTTTTGAGTGGACACCCCAGTAGCCTGAAGACTCCCTATTAGGCCCCACCTGTCAAGGTTCTTGTCCAGCTTGCACCACAGACTGGGGACCAGGCCTCCACACGTGGGTCTTTGGGTGCCCGTGAAGAGCCAAACTGTAGTGCTAAAGTCCAGTTGACCTCTGCTTTCCCTGTCAGTGATGTACTTAGTGCCATATCGAAGAGGTCCTTGTGTAAGCCACTCTCATAGACATTTTTACCCTTGTCCCTATCCTTCACTGACATCTAGCATCTTAGAAACCATTTTTGTGGGGGGTTTTCCAGAGCATTTTTGGCAGTTTCAAACAGAAGAATAAATTCAATTCCTCTTATTCCACTTTAACTGGAAGAAAAACGCTTTTTGGGGATCACTTTAATCCTAAAACCTTTTCCCAACTGTTGATCTTTAAGGTGGCCTAACAGAAGCATCTTGGATACTCTGTATCTGTTCCAGACAGACCACTGAAAAATGCACACAGCAGTGAAGGCAAACCTTTTGGAGCTCTCAGTGATACACATAAGCCCGCGGCGGCCTGTGTGCCATAGGTTCGCCCCTGTTAGTCTACATCCCTAGCCCTTTTTATTTCATTTTTAAATTTTGAGAGAAGGTCTTACTAAGTTACCCGGGCTGGGCTCGAACTTACAAATCCTCCTACTCAGGCTTCCCGAGTGCTGAGATTATGGGCATGTGCCAACAGATCTGGGTACAGGTCACAGCTTCACTTTAAAATGTACACTGAGAAAAGGGCAGAGGCCTTGGGCCCCATCCATCCCTAGAACTGAAAAACGGTGCATAGGATGCTCAATTCCAGAACAGAGGCACACGGCTCTCAGGGCACAGACACATCTATTCCACGTGGTGCAAGTGTAGGCAGAACAGTGCCCAGGTGAGTAAAGCGACGTTCTCTGAAAGAACAGGTTGACAGTTCAGTGTTGGGATTGGTCGGAGGCTTTCATGACTCATAAGCGCTCTGAACATCAGTCTTACCCTAAAATATGATTTCAAAGAAAGCAGCTGTAGTGAGACTCCTAGGGGTGGATGAAGTTTTGCATTGTCAGTGTTTGGTTGTTGAGTGTGAAACGTTTAGATTCTTTCTTCTACTGTAGAGAATTGACAGTAATCATTTTTAAGCTATCGCTAGAAGCAGTGATTAATTTCCTACCTTCCTGGTGTTTTTTGTTTTGTTTTGTTTTGTTTTTGGTACCAGGGATCAAACTCGGGTCCTTGCACTTGCAAGGCAGGTGGCGGAACCACTGAGCTAAATCCCCGGCCCCTAATTCCTTCTTTCTTATGAAGCGCATTCCAGTGGACCTAATGAATTTATTGCTAACTTCCTTTTGTTCTTAGAGACCAAGGACTGTTTCTCTTATGGTCAGTGTATAGAAGAGAAAAATATAAAAAGCATTGGGATAGTATTGAGGCAACATTGCGCTTTTTATTAGTTTGCATTTGTGATTTTATTTCAGTTTACACCCTTAGCGCAAATGTGCCTTAGGGATATACCAGAGGATACAAACGAAACAGAGGACCCCAGCTCAGCCCTGGATTCGCTTAGACTCCACAGAACCAGCTGCAGCACAGTGCAAGGCGGAAGATAATCAGCTGCTGAAACTGGTCCCCCGAGCCTCGGGACACTTGACAGCACGTGTGTGCTTCCGCAATGGTTCCTTGGTGGTGAGGCCCGGCTGTGTTCCGAGACTAGAGGTGCCGGTGAGAGCAGAACGCCCGTCCTGGGGACCTCGCTTGTCTGGGAGAGGACGGTGTTCGCGTCCTGGTGTGACAAACACTTGCGTGTCTAAAAGTACAGGGCTGGCAGGGGACCCGAGGGCAGGCGGGCAGCATCCTGAGGTCACCGGGCGGCAGCTGGGTATGCGTCTGCACATAGCAGAATGATGTTCATTCCGCGTGCTGTAAGGGTGCGCAGGATTCCCAGAGGAGGGTCAGAGAACCGTTTGTGTAGAAGAAGGCAGAAGCACGGACAGTGTTTTCCCAAGGTGCCCAGGTAGCGGCGGCTGCTGGAGCCTCTGGACTCTGTGCGATGCTCCT